CTGTTTTTTTGTTTTTATCAAATGTGTGAAAAAAAAATCTAATAATTTAGTTTAATATATTTAACGTTTTTCTCCATTAATCGGCGTATGAAATAGGTTTATCACCGGATGCGACGCTCTCCGGTTTCCTGACCTTGACTGCCCCCTCATGGCGGTTTGAGGGACAGCCGCGTCCCCCCCTCTCCCGCTCTGACAGGCGCCCGCACGGAGTCGTGACAGGTGGGGCGGCTGGGGTCCGAGGTCCGAGGCCAGACCAGCCACACCCGCATGCTCATCCCAGCAGTGTCCAGGCGCCGTTTCCACCCAGTCCGGGGACACGTTTCCGGGTGAGCCGGCGTATCTGAATTTCCTCCAGTGTGCGTTTGCACCCCCCCCCCGATTCTCTCCCACTGCGCCCCAAAACCCTGGTTCTCCCTCACCGCCCACCCTCTGAGGACGATCACGAGTGGGCAAGGAAAGAGGAGCGAGAGAAAAGTTCAAAATATAGCCTGCGCCGCACAAGTGCGGAAAAACATGGCACAACAGCATCGCTCTAATTATTAAACATCGGAGTGGGGAAAAAAATGCTCCTGTACACCAGTAGTTGTTTTTAACTGTTAAAACATCCCAACTGTACCCACAGTTAAAACAAAAGCCTAACTGTGCTGAGTAACTAGAGGAATAGATCAGAATGAGGTAGTACAGTAGGGCTGAAAAAATGACATTTCTTATTATGATTATTAATTCATTATTATTATTTACAGCCCAACACGGTCACAGAACAGTGCCCAACTTATCAGTAATTTAGCAGTTCAATCAGGATCGCAAATTACCCGTCTCATCCAAACAGCACCCCTCCCTGCAGACGATCTTTAAAATAAACATAATCAAACAGGCAGAAAAAAATTATATCAGATCCTTCCCGCATCCTCAATTCTGAAGACCAACTTCTTCCTTCTGGCAAACGCTTTAGGGTTTCCAAATGGAAGTCAAACAGATACAAACATTCCTGTGTTCCACTCTCCATTACAGCCGGCAACGCAAATGGCAAGGATA